TAAAGGAAAATTATAATATTGAAATTATATATACCACAGTAAGTCTTGGGCTATTATGGAAATTCAAGACCATATTTGATGAGGGTGGCCGCTTTGTCAGTTATCAAAATGAAGTTATCAGAAGAGGACACTAACTTACTTAAGAAATTGCAAATTCGTCAGTTTTACAAAAAAACAGTCATTATTTTTAAAATAGGTTTCTTCGGCGTTCATATATTTTGAACCGCCATCTTCAAATATTTAACATACTTTTGTGAATTTTTATAGATTTTTTATAAAACACTAAGCTAATATTCTAGAAGTAATACAAAAAATGGTGTTATTTTTATTTAAATATAAACCGAGTAAATTATGTAAAAGCCTCATAGACTCTGCAGCACTTTAATTTTCATGTACCCCCTTTTTATGTACGAAATAATATAAGCTTCCCCCAGCTGGAACTAGGGCCCGAAGTTCTGTTTTTTCTAAAATATTTCTAATTTTGGTAGCCCATTTATCCAACCCTCATGTTTAACAGTCTATTGAAAAAGTGGCCGTCAGTATGTAAAGGGCAAATTTAAAAAGAACGCCATACTTCTTTTAATTTTCTGCAGTGTTGTTCTTGCGATTTGTATTCTTGATATGTGTTGTTGTCTTTGATATTTTGTTTTGTCAAGAAATTAGAGCTCAAGCCAACAGACAGTTTTTGTGAGCGGGATGAAGCGCATTTTCATCCCAATGTAGAGTAATTCGAAAACGAGAAATGCATCTTAACTTGCTGGACTGGCATTTGGAGTAGGCTCGATCATTCTTGATTGTCCCCTATCGGATCTAGCATTAACAATTTTTAACTTTAAAACTTGGTGGTCTTTGCCGCATTCCATGTGATGATTGTCAAAGGTCTTAAGAGTGGCAGGTCGACAGATAGGTAGTTGAGGCTTAGTGACAAAAAATGACTGGTGTTTCTGATTTTTTTTTGCGGAGAAATGGACTCGTAAAACTGCACTTTCCGAAAATTAGAAACTTATTATTCTCAACATTAGGCGTTGTTAAAAAATAGTTAAAACGTGTTGGAATATACTAAAATATACTAAAGTCTACAATATTTGTGCACGAGAATAAACGAGACCTTATTAGGTCAATAAAGAGAAGTACAAAGTACAAGAAGAAAGGAAACTGCCACAAATGAGAATGAAAAGTCCGCCATTATAAGAATGATACACTTGTTTTACTTAAAACAAGAAAGAAGAAAAAGGGTAATTTCGTTCCACCCATTCAGGGGAAGACTTTGAAGAAAATCAATTTTTGTTACTAAGAAACTCAAAACAAAAACATCACTTTAAATAGAGAAATACGACGATATTTGAGAGCAGTAAGACAGTTTCTAGAAGAAAGCAGGAATATCTATTATCCGGACGAAACTGGAGTAAATGAAGATTATACCGCACGTAAAATATCGCAGGATAAAAATTTAAAATGCTCAAGGCAAGCTTCCATGTAAGGATGGTCAACTGAAATAAAAGCCCCTTGGGAAAAAGGTAAAAGATTAATTGGTAGTCCTGGCTTTCTAGCATTTTATCTGGAGACTATCACGAAGACACGTGAATGCTAACATTTTTGAAGACTACTTCCAGCAATTACTATATCTTATTCCTCCAGGATAACGTTAGATATCATACAAGAAAATCCGAAAAAATGCAAGTCAAAGGGTTTGTAACAAGGCATAACACCACTCTGTAAATGAGGGAGGTTGAAATTATCTTGGAAGAGGAAATAAAGACAAATACTGATTTCTTTGGACTTCAACGACTTTAGTTCATCTGTCTACTCGGAACATGATGACTAAAATTTGTAAACGAAGTAAATCGAAAATACAAAATTTTAAAATATTTTCCAATTTTTGTTTTTTCTTGACAAATCGATGTCGTCAGTAGGCGCGTTTTTGGGTGCTCGGGTGCCCAGTCCTAGCCTGACGAGGGTCCATCGGGACGTAGGAGCTATAAACAATTATGTACCGGTCGGATGGGCAATCAGATTCGGACCCCTCCCGTGCCCCATCAACTTTGAAATTCGAAGATCGAATCGTCATAATATATCGCACCCTTTCGCGATAGCCGGTTGAAAAATGGGCTCGGCGCGTTTTCCCGAAGAAAAGGCGAAGAAACAAACCTTTGAGCCTTTCCGGTGCGCGGGGGCGGCGGGCGCCCCGGCGGCCGGGAAGTACACGCGTAATCTTATTGTCACGGGGTCCGACCCCCCGATAATAGAAAACCGCTTCGGTCGGGCGTTTTCTTTTTTTCCGTCAAAGAAAGTTTCGTGAGGGGAGAAGAAGCTGCCGACCTGTTCCATTAGTTGGGGGGATTACCGCTATCAAAAAGGGGGATGTACGTGCCTTCGGGGTTTTCATACCGAAAACGCGAGGTGCAATGAGCGCACGAGCCGCGCGAACCTAGTTTCCCGGTCCATTTTCCGATTTAATTATTTTAATACGTCCGCGAAAGCTTTTAACAAGATTGCGGGCCTCATCGCCATTCCGTCTTAATTACGGTGTACGCTTCTTTCTCTAGATGGAGATATTGGATATCGAAGAGGTACCTCCAGATATACGTTTATATACTTGTAACTCTGAAGTCCCCTTTACGTATCGATGAAATTTTAGTTTCATTTCCGTAAATAAAGTAAATAAACCATGAGGACACCTCATTCTCCGAAAACAACCCTTCACTGTTGTCCTTCCTTACATTCAAAACATCACTGACCACATATCAAAAGTTGTAAAGAAACATAACTTCAAAACCAGATTTACCACTTGTCCAAAAATCTCTCAACATCTTCGATCCGTCAAAGACAAAATTTCGTTTGAGATGCCAGGAGTTTCCAACATTCATCAGCACTTGCCAAACACATTCACGAAACCGAAAATTTTATTCGATAAAACTAAAATTCTTGCATGTAATCAATTCCAGGCAAGCAACGAAAAATCCGAGAGTCTATAGAAATCTATAAGCAACCCAACAATCTTATCCGCGACTCAGGTCCCTACCTGTCACCAATATGGGAATCAGTCATCCGAGACGGTGTTCATGCCCCTCATATAGCTCCGCCCCCCAGGAATCCAGAAGTTTTTTAAATAGTTTTGTGTCGTGCATAAAACGATGTTTGTCTGGATTGACTGCATAAACAACAGTACAGCAATAAAATAAAATATTCTCATGACAAACTGTAGCAATCTGTCTCAGTAACTGTTTAAGCCTCAATATTTGTACTTTACAACTAGATGGCTAAACTAATTTTATCGTTATATAATTCAAAATAAAGAGGCGGGAAGAGAAGGGGAATAAAATTACTTAATTTTGTTTTATCTGAGATGAAGGGAGATCCATAATTACTGAGACCGTAGAAAGACCTGCTTTGTTTTTTCTTTGTTGGGTTGTTCCGCTTGACCTGCTTGACCTGCTGTCCTTGGTTTTCTAGTGTCTAATGGAAATACTGTATCGTTCCTTTTTGTACGAGTTCAACTGTGAAAAATTCAGATAAAATTTTCATTCTCTTAGACGAGGTGTAGGGGATTATTCTACGAAAAGCACAAACATTCACGCTTGTGAAGATCATTTTAATGTAAATATTGATACCTAAATTATAATAATTAGGGTTACGTAAACTTATCATTTTACCGGCAAAGCCTACAATATATTTTCTATTATATAGATACTTACCGAAATATAAAAAATATCTAGATCCTAATTTTATATCTAAGTATCTAGTAAACGTATTAGTTAGGTACCCATTACTTATGCTTAATAGATATTTGATAATGCATTTTATTTTTTGGGTGGTAAAAAGATAATGAAACCTCATGTAGTTTCTCACATATTTTCACAGTTCCTCCAAGAGCAGCAGCTTTTAAATTAGCATGCGGAAGGCTGGTTGATGAAGCAGTATCTTCCGGTTATACTACAACATTTTCAGAAATATAAACTTGTGTCAGTCCTCAAATCATAAACTAATAACTGACATGTCAATGGACGTGGTAAATATTGCTACTTTGGCCCAAACAAGTGTTTCATTAAAAAAGGATGTTTCCATATAAGAGCACCGGCCTGTAATGTTTAAAAGACAAGCAGTGCAATGTAAATTATATTTGGGAGTTAACGTCAGATTGTCTCGAATTATATTTTATAATGGTGATATAACGAAAAAACAAGAAACTGATGTTCTAAAAAATGTGTACGTGTAAAAAGTAGTGAGAATCGTTTCTATGATGATGGTGACACCAAGAAGTCACTTTTTGGTTCGTTTTTGGTTAGTCACTTTTTGGTGACACTTGAAGTTCGTAGTAGTAGTCATAGTGAATTGAGTGAAGAACTTTCTGATTAAAGGAAAGTATTTGTTTACGCTCTACAGTAATGAAGGTGCAAAATTGGCCTAAATAAATCAACTAAATATATCAACTTTGGGTAAATTCACTGATTGTCCTCTTATAACACCTGCATCAACCATCAAACACCAAATTAAGCAAGATTAAACAAAATTTTCTCCGAAAATAAGTAAATACAATGTTCTATAAATGAGTATTGATTATTTTACGTGCTATTTCAATGTCTGTATACGCGCGCCTAGAAGGAAGTACAGCGGTCTGACGTCACAACCAAGAGCAGCTAAATTCAATTCAAATTTTCAACCTTTATTTGCCTGCCAGGGAATTTAATTGTGATTGAAAATTTTCTTTTTTAAATGATTTTATTTTTTGAGCATGTTCCCTATGAAAAAATGGTACACTACGAACCTTTCACACCTTTTATTTTAGTACTCTACACTTTTCTGAAATAGTCTTGGATTTTCGTAAAATTGTCCTCAAATCATTGATGATCTCGAATTCTCGACATCGTGATTCGAATCGGGATCGGAGGAATTCGCGCGCCTGCGCGACGACGACGTCACGGCCACGAGGCGGCGGACGCCCAAACGCCTCAGTCGACCGCGCGAAAGGCGTCGCGACGCGTGCGGACGACTTTGCGATACCCGGAGCGCTTCGCCGTCGCTCTGGCGGCGAAAAATAACTTCAAAGTGCCGATGCAAAAGAAATATCTACGGCGTACGTGACGTGCGACGCTGGATATCCGGTCGCGTTCGACCGTGCGCGGGTGTGTTTGTGTGTGTGTGTTTGAGTGCGTGCCGAAGATTAAAGCAAAATATTAAAATATACGGGCGAAGCACCTCGTCACCGCCTCTCGTTTTGTTTTTTTGCGCGCGTCGGCGTCGCCGTCCGGTTTATTTTCGACGTCGCGAAGTTTCGTTTTTTTCTTTCTAATTCTTTAATTGCGTTACACTAGTGCCATTAGTTACGCCACCACCCACGAAATATGATCCGGCCCGCGGGGGCTGGTAATATTTTGACGTCATCGTCGTCGAGCGATTGAAACATGTTTCCCGCGTGCATCAGGGCACCGAGGAGCGTCCAGGGTTCCGCCGACGACATCTCGAAACAGACCAAATCTATCGTCCAGGTTAGTTTCGCCCTCCGATGTGACGTTAAAGTAATGTGAATTTTTCGCGCCATTTGACGTATACGAATACGAATACTTTATTAATTACTATCACTGATCATTTACATACGTCAAACAAAAATTAATAAAATAACATATACTTAAAGTGCACCTGGTTCATTATAGTTGAAATAAACCTCAATTGTGGGTAGTTGCGTCAATTGACGCCATTGTGAGGTGGAATCCACAAGTTTTGTAAAAAGCGTTAAAAGAGCTTATTATCCAATTGCTACTGTCATGGCCCATCAGGAATATTCAAATACTGAATATCGCGGTATGCATTTTTGCTACGGAAGAGCAAATGGAAATGCAGATCAAGCACGGCGGTTCTATATCGAGGCTTATCCAAATAGAAACGTTCCATCTGCTAAGACATTCATCCACACATATAGAAGACTTGGTGAAAGAGGATCATTCAAACCTGATAATATGAGTAAAGGGAGACCAAGGTATAAAAGAACCGCTACAAAAGAAGAAAGAATACTTCATAATATGGAGACTGACCCGTCCACGAGTACGAGAAAACTTGCTGCTCAAGATAGAATTGCTTGCTCTACAGTTTGGGAAGTTTTGCATGAAAATGATCTTTGGCCCTTTCATGTTCAAAGGGTTCAAGCACTATATGAGGGTGAGGAACAAGCAAGCAATCATTTTATACAATCAAATTTTAAGAAAAAATCAAAATTACCCACATGAAAAAATTTAAGGAAAACATTTGCGAAATAATCTTATAGGACCTCATTTCTTTAACGGACCGATTAATGGCGAAATGTATTTGCAATTTTTCCAAGAGAAACCACCACCGTTGCAGTGGAGACAAAACGTGGTTAATACAAGGAGTCCACCCCATTTTACATTGTCTGTACGAAGGTATTTCAATCAGGCATTTTTACATTGATGGATAGGTCGGCCGCCTTCTAGCTTGGCCGCCTCGCTCACCAGACCTTAATCCGATGGACTACTTTTTTTGGGAGCAATTAAAGTCTTTAGTTTATGAAACACCTATAACAGATATCAATGATTTTGCAAAGACACTTCCACAGGCTACTGTAATACTTTTTACAAATCTTCTGGATTCCTCCTGCGTCGGTTTTTGCCGAGTCGATGTTGCTGTCGTTTCGCCAATCATCCTGTTGACTTCTTCAGAGGTTGATATCAATGATCTACGACAAGTAATAATAAAATCACAAGAAATAGGCAGGCTAGGTGTATTTTTTCGTGTTCGACTGCATTTTTAAAAATGTATAAGGAAATATTTATAAATGAATTGTAATTAGCGTGTTATACTGTTTAATTTTAATAATTATTAATCATTTTTTATTTTCGAAAATGGTAAATATCTAGTTTTGCTTCTCCTAAAACTTCTAATACGCTCTCACCGTGAAAGACCGTATTATCTGCTAAGAAAGAAAAAACAATTTACAATTTGCCTATCATGTATGTATTAAGAAAAATGAATCATAAACTTTTCGTTTAAATTAAATGACAAGTAATAATTAAATAATAAAAGGGTCTATGGGCGGGGGTTAATGTCTTTGGGACCGACAAATTCTTTCAATTGACGAACTTCGAACAATCAATTTCAATTCGCGTTAATTTTATCGAATCGAATTAGACGCTTAATCGAATTAAAACGGCCGCGTGAGTGTACCGGGCGATTTCGACGGGCCCACCGTCCTTCATATTATATACCTCATGAGGGCATGAGGGGTGTTCTCCCCTATTTAATAAATCATCAGGCCAGGTATTTCGAGTGCGGTGTCCTTCCAGCAATGTTTACGGAAAGGGCGACTCTCGGAAACTGCCGCGTAACTCTATTAAATCGTTTCCTTCCCATTCGCGAATTATTTATAAGCGTATACCGGGTGTCTTTGAAGCAAAGACAAATTTCAATAATTTTTAAAATAATTGTCCACATCTTCAAAAAGGTTTAAAGCATTTTAATAAACTTGGATGACATTGATTGGTCAAACCCGCATCTCAATATCTAATCTAAAATATCGAACCAACCAAAAAAAGGTGGTCGATTTTGGGAAAAAATCCCTCTTTACAGGTTGTTATATATATATTTTTTAAATCGTTCTGAAATTATTTACGCTTTAATGATGTTTGACCACAAATCCCATTGATTGGGTCTTAAAATTTACCGCTGACAAAATTTTCATATTTTGTACAGTGGTGGTGCCACTTTTTGTTATAGGAATATTTTTAATTTTTTGGACGAAAATCATATGTTCATGAAAAGGTGCTCTTGTTTAAAGTAAGAAAATACTGGTTTTTTGTCAACTCAAGGAACAATGATTGCTTCAGAAACAACTATAAATCAAACATATTGTAAATTATTTTGAGCTTAAATTTTGAATCGATGGTATTTGTCGTTTAAATTTCATTTAGGTATTTTCAACTGTTTCAGAATTTTGTGAGGCCTCTAGTTTGTGAAGTAGGCGTTTCCCATGGTCATTAACTTGGTTGAGCGTTTTTTGAAACACCCTGTATAAGGGAGTCTCTATATTATTAGTTACTTGTATTCGGGGTGTTATTAAATATATGTATTTGTGATACGTATATGCCTATAAGGGGAAGAATTATTATTTTTTTATTATTCACATTCGGTAAGGACGAGTATAGGATGACCATCATTCCATCGAGCTCATTAAAAATCGTAAGAAACACTGTGCTTATTAACCTACCTTTAAAGAACTCGCATACTCTGATGCTTTTAAAATTCAAAATATTTCATTCTATTAGAAAAGTCAGGCCCTGCCTTCATTCGACCACCAAATGGATTCGATAGATCGGTCGGCTACTATACTAAACAATGAACTCTATCTGAAATGGTATGGTGCCTTCAACTAATATCGTTATATTTATAGGGAGACGGGTAATAAAACGTAATAAAAGTTTGGATTTTTCAAGGGTCAAGGAAAAATCAAGTGTAATTATGTAAATAAAGTATTTCCACGTCATAACGAAAAGTGTGCGAATTATTTGAAAATAAAAAATAAATCAGTATTTTGGTATTCTTTGACCGTTGATTTAGTTTGGGTTAGTTTAAGCTTAGTTTAGTTAGTTTTTAGGTCTTAGGTAAATATACTGTTATTTTCCGACCAACTTTTTTTATATATGTAATATATGGTAAATCAGATGGTAGAAGCTTTCGTTTTCTATCTTCCCAGTCGCGGTCCTGCATATGTCGATCTTCCATTGTCTGAAACACACCGTCTTTCCACGAAAGTTGCTGCCTCCCTCCTTATTTCCGTTGTAGTGATTCCCAGTTCCTCTACAGAGGCCATCGTTGATCTGATATTCTTCTTTGAAGTCGGTATTTATACCTGGTGGATATTTCCCTCATTTCCGAACTGTTATGCCGTATATATTCTTTATTTTTACCCATTATTTGTGAAATTCTTATTCTATAGTATTGAAATTAGCTGTTTTATTGCGACTGTTTACTTGATTATCCTTTGTTGAATGTCTAAGTGGCTTCCACCATGATTCGAAGCGATTGTTCCTAGATCGTCATAAGTTTGACAGACTTTCCTACCCTGCCCTGTACCCACCTCCATGCACTGGGGTTTTCATTTCATTATATCGGTACATTATAACGTAAATCAAGTTGTGAAAAATCAATTATAAGCCAGCAAAAGAAATATAAGGCCCCATTCATGCGGTGCATAGTTGAAAATTAGGCAATGTTTCCGGCCGGATTGCTCCTCGTCAAAATTTTCCGGGCTGCGGTTTCAATTTTCCGAAAGCCGACAATCAAACGGGAATGTAATACACAAATCCTTTTATTGTTTTGACTGGGGCTTCGATTCGTATTCCAAACAATGATTTGTTTGTTTGTTGAAACTCCCGGTACTCAGCTCTCTATAGAGTGCTCGTTTTTTTGCGACGCAAAAATGGTTGCTCGGGCAAAAAATAAAATCAAAATAAATAAGAACTAAAAGTTCAGATTTGCACGAAATTATATATTCTGACATGACAATTGTTTCGACAACACCGTGCCTTCATCAACATTTGATAATTTCGTGAAAATGTTAACTTTTAGTTCTTATTTATTTTGATAAATGGATTTTCATCAAGTAAAAGCCACCTCAGTTCAATTTTCAAAAAATGAAATGTATAAAATATAAAAAAATATGTAAATTATATAATGCAAACAAGGGCAATTAAGACAATTTTTCTTGTGCACTTTTAAAGAATGAATGTTTTTTTATTTATTTTAATCCTAGGTTAAGTTACAAGTTTTAAATATTTATATTAAGTTGGTGTTATAATTCTTTCACATACTTGATATGTCGAATATTATGCGTAAATTTGACATTATTGATGCTTTCGATGCTGCACTAGTTGCACTAGAACCGCCTAGGGGGCGATGGAACGCCGAAAATGGAGTTGATTTGATCAATATTTAATCCCCTTTTCCTTTTAGAGATTCTGCACGTTAAGCTACATTTTCGGTTGTATGTGCTACCGGTCAAACTCGATATGAAACCGGATTAATTTCTACCAAGTCCATTCCAAGAAACGACGGAAGGAGAAAAAACTAATCAAAACTGACAAAAAAATATCTTTACTGATGAGCGAAAATTAAAGCTGATCCTAGGATAGATTAGTTTATCCTGAAATCGGGTTTAGCCGGTAACAATCCATTCTCAATTTTTGTTAGTTCTAGCTTCACATTTTTTTTCATTAAACATACGCGAAGGATCAGTTTTCTCCATAATTTTAAACATAAATTGATTGGAAGACTTTCTAGAAAAAAAAATCAAGAGACAAAAAGTTTCTTTTTCTTCTTTTTATTATGTCGTGCAAGCTGTTGAAAAAAAGGGAAAAAATATGCAGAAAGTGTATTCATCTAATGCTGATACTTCCATAGAATTGTGTTATTCTATCCCGTTTTGTTTTTAATATAAAAAGTTCATTTTTCTGAGATATTTGTTGCTATATATCATTTC